GAACAATTCATACTTTATATTTTACGATTTTACTTATCTCATAATAATTCATTTGTACTCCACTGACATTATAGCTTGGTATATGGATAAAATAAGTCCAAAAACATCACTTTCCCAAGTGAATAGAAAAATACTTGAATTGTATTTTCTTTGGTCAATCATTTATCTGTCAACTCTCGACAGATTTAATATCAAGATCCTCATCACCATTTATAATTTTGAGTGCTACATTATATTTAAGATATCGCCAACGATTATTTGATATCGATTCTAATGTGACATAACTTATCAAGCTCACTTTATTTTTCATCATTTTCAAGTACCTGAACCTTTGACAAGATTTTTATAAAGTGTTATGTCATGATGCTCTTTCTAAAGCACTTGCCTCATTATTATGACTATCTTGATCATTTGCTCCTTTTCTTCTTCAAGAAGTTTTATCTTTCAAATCGATTAATTTATCACGTTCAGGCGTGCCATAACTTATGTCCTTCAAGGATTTTTCATTGAAGCATTTATATCTGGTTTATAACATAGGGTCTTTGAATGTGTCTGACAATTGACTTAAATTATTTTTCAACGAGGATCATGCCAATACCAATAATAATTCATTATGTATAACTAATTTTCCAGTTGCTTATCATTCCTCCCCCTAATGTTAGAGAATCTAACATTCGCCCAATATTATTTGGGGACTCATCTTTGTGCATTGCGTAATGATGGAGCAATGGAATAATATACCGCACATTTTAAAAAAAATTAGAAGAGAATTATTTGGTTCCTGACCCTGAACCAATTGTGATAGGGGAACCTTGTTGGCTTGATACGTACAAGTGTTGCTACACTTTAAATAACACATCTTATACCAAATTTCTTTTGGGAGTTTTGTTCTGATAACCAATGGTTTAGTTATAATTAGAGGCATATAATTTCTGCTTAAACCACTTGGATATAAATCAACATCATCAATATAATTTTATAATTTGAAATGTGCTCTTGATTTAACAATTCTAGCAAACAACCTTTGCAAAAATGAAATTGCAAGTTGATAATAAAGCATATGTGACCATAAACATAGATGCATCTATTAAAATCATATAGTAGTAAATGATCTACATGACAGGTGAACGGGCCCATATTCACCTTTTTATACATTTCAAAATTCTAGGAGATATAATCTCAAACTTAGCTGGTGCAATGATAATTTTATCATGAGAACAAACAACACAATAGAATTCTTGAAGACTTTATTATTTCTTCAATACATATATATAACCACATGAATTCTCATTTATTTTCGTATCATATTTGAACCGGGATGGTCATCAACCGGTCATGCCAACTAATATTTATTTCAATAAACTTGTAGTTTGTTTTGCATGTGATTAATCATCATGCTCATATTTAGTTACCACAAACAATATGCAAATATGGGTAATTTTTCACGTAAATATTTATAACCCACTTTGATTGTAGTAATATGAAGATCTTAAATCTTTCCATATTTTGTAGTCTGAATATTTTTTTTCTTTGACTATTTTTTTTAAAACTTAAAAAGTTTCTTTTGATACTACAATTCCAATATCATGAGCAATTTTATTTCTTTGGGTAGTAGCACATTAGCTCACCAAAGCTCACAATTAACATTGGATACTACCACATATTTCATAACATTGTTTGTGTGGTAAACATCTCTTTCCAGGAGAAATTTATATCATTATTGTCATGATCAAAATCATTATAAGCCAAACTTGTTTCTTGATTTACTTTTGTCATTAGTATCTCCTCCCTTTTGTTTAATATCTGACAATTTTTTTTTTTTGACACACAGAGATACATAATCAATGACAAAGTTCTGTGGTCAAGAATTATTTCCTTCTTTTGTCATTTCGATAGTTCATCAAAAAACGTACCACAATATTAGTGATGTACTAAAAGTGCTTGACCAATGGCCATTTATACCAACATATAATTTCTTTATTTCTCTCTAACCTCCCATAGGGGTGAGTTGTGGTATTTATTAAATCATACATGAGTCTTTATTTATAATTTTCATCATCTTTTGACACATGCACTTTCAAGAATGATCCACATTTCATGATACTTACCACAAGTCACATTCTCTTCAAGGAATTGACTATAATCATATATACATGCTTCATGATTATTATTATTTTTTCATTATAAGTTCATTGTCATGCTTGAAATTTATCATATTCATATGACATACCTCGACATCACTTTTGAAAGGTCAAGTGCACCTTCACTTTATATTTCTTTATTTTGATGGAGGATTTATAAAATCAAATTAGTTTGCACTGTAATCACGTGCCCAATACCTTTCATACCAAATTTGATGACAAAAACTACCTTCACTCTTTGAAGGACCTATTTTGAGAACTCATAATGTCCTTTCTTTTATAATTATCACAACGATGACTATTATTATTTTATCCATTCACGTGCATATTCATATATCCAACCATAAAATAGTCTTGTCATCTTTCAGACTTTCATTGTATTGCTATCACATTCTCTTTTAAGAATGAAGCATATTAAATGGGACGGACTTCACAATTTTTAGCAAGAGCATATCGATTTGCTCAATCATCACTATATATTAATATATTGCATTGCGACTTTAACCCAATGTCTTATCCATACAAAGGCGTGTTAGGCCAAAATACGAAGGGACTTGAACTCAAAATCTTATCATCATGGTGCATCGAGACTTTGATCGATGTCTTACCCTTTTGGTGCGATGAAACTTGAATCCACCGTCTTACTCTCAATCAATGACAGAAGAAGCAAAATACAACAAAATTCACCTTGAATCTTTAAAAATATTACAACTTCACAATTAAATGGCAAATGGATTAGAAATAATAAGAAAAGACATTAACAAAACCTATTTAATCATGAGTATAAATTTATTTTACTAGGCCTACAAATATCAATTATGTAATTGATAAACACACTATACATAATTTTGAATAAGTAGCCAATATAATCCAATTAAATTATGTATTAATAAAAAAATATATGTGTTAAATTTCCTTCCCTTTTTTTTATTTGTTTATTTATATATTTATTTTAGCAAAAAAAAATTGTAGTAAAATTCATGTACATTAGTCATGTATAATATGACAATTTAAAGGTCAAGATGAGAAATGACAAACAACTAATTGTTAAAGAAATTTATTATCCTGACTAATTATGAGTAGCTTATATAAAATAAAAATAATCCTTTTATTTACCGTTTCAAGACATATGCACAATTCAAATTTCTAATATGTATTGAGTTCTGATGACTTTTGGTCCGACACTTAACAAGTCAATTGTTTTGTAGAAAATTAATATGGAGTAATTTTTCGTATCACTGGAAAGTAATATTTCATATAAATAATATTATGAGTAATAGTTAACAAAAGGTTATGTGAGATGAATACCTTTCTATTCTTATAGCTAATTATAAAGATCGAAAACTCAAATAATCAGATAAGGAAGACTTCATAGTATGGATAAAATATATTATAAGAAATAAATTGTAATATACTTTAAGCATATGCAAAAGAAAATCACAAATTTATACTCCTCCCATTAAGAGATTTTGTGGGCATAGATCGATCAATTTGATAGCAAGAAGAAAACAACCACCATTAAGAATAGATTGATTTGTATACCCAATTTCTTGTTTGTTCATATCAACAATGGCTACCAGTAGTGTAATTGAATGTGTTTACCTGCATGTAGTTTTGATATGGGAATATTGATAAAAAGTCTCATGTCTTAGATTTCTGATAACTTATTTGAACTTCTAATATTTTGAGACTTACATAGGATAGAAAAATTATTAGAGATTCGTGCTGATAACGGGTTATAAAATAATGATAGAATACTAAAATTAAATGGAAAAACCTAGAAAGAAGAAGAGGAAAACAAAAGTAATTAGAACAAGGGAAAAGGGTCTGATTTATCCCTCAACTTTGTCATTTAGAGCTGATATACCCCTCGTTATGAAAGTGGCTCATATATACCCCTACTTATATATAAATGAATCACATATACCCTTTCCCTCTAACGGAAATGAAAAAAATTAATTTTAGTTTAATTTTTTTATTATAACTATAATCCCATATGGGTATATTTAATCCTCCTCAAACCTATTTTTTTGACTTTTTTTTTGTTTCAATGACTAATTTAGATTTATTATTTTGATGGTCAAATCTATTTATGTTTCACTAATATTCTTGTAAAATTTATTATAGACGATCAATTTTTTTCTTCAAATACAAAAATTAAATTACAATATAGATAAAAATAATTGTTTTAAATTATAATATAGCCACAAAAAAATAGTTTTAAATTTTTTTCTTTACACTAAGTAATGAAAGAAAAAAATAAAATAAGAATAAGAAACTCAAATAATGAAAATCAAAGAAGTCAAGAAATAATTTATGTATGAAAAAAATTGAAATATACCTTGAACTTTGCTAGAAGAATCCTATATACCCCTAAATGATTTAAAAAAAAATTAAAAGTCAAAAATATAAATTTAAAATTGATTTTTTCACTTCCGTTAAATGAAGAGTATATGTGAGCTCATTTTGTAACGGTAGGGGTATATGTGAGCCGTTTGTATAACGATAAGGGTATATATGAGCCACTTTCATAATGAAAAATATATCAGCTCCAAATGACAAAGTTGAGGGGTATATCAATCCTTTTGCCTAAGAACAAAGAAAAAGGAAGAGGAGAGGAGAGGAGAGGAGAGGAGAAAGTAATAGTAACCTTTTCTCAATATTTTTTGGTGTCTTATTTCATATATATATATATATATATATATATAATGTAGACCTTTTAAGTCAAGAGTAACTTGGAAAACTAAATATGCTACAGTAACATGTGGGCCATAGGACATCACATCCACAAATTATTTACAACAAAATAATTAATTTCGAGACTTGTTCACATCCTAAACTCATCTTTCTCTTGTGACTTGTGAGCATGGAGTCCACTAAGGCAGAGGTTTTGGGGAAGATGGGTAAGAAGGAGATAATCAGAAAGGCAGAGGAGTTGGTAGAGAAAGCAATGAGAGGGAACGATGCTTCACATGATGCAGCCCATGCTTTTCGAGTTAGAGACCTTGCCCTTTCACTTGCTCACGAAGAAACCCTTTCTACTTCTCCTGATTCCATCTTAATCGTAAGCTTACTACTCATAATTACCTAACTAGATTGAGGGTTAATTGAAAACCAAAACTCGTGTTAAAGATTTGATGAGGTTACTGAGTGCAAGATTGTTTTAGCCACTGGTTGATGATTTGGGCATTCTTAACGATACTGCTTCTAATAACTAGTTTGTCTCCAAGATCAGTTTGCCTAATGGGATACATCTGGGAAGTAGTTTGCTTAAAGTTAAAAACATATTGTAAACCCACTTCTAAGGATCCAAGTGCATACACCTTTCATATATGTAGTCTGAGTGTTGATTAGTGTGAGCAAAATGTGTACATATGTTTGAGGAGGGTATACCTATTTTCTTTTTCTTCTTTTAGGCATTTCGAAAAGTTAAACTTTTCTTGCTATAATTTCAGGTGGAACTGGCTGCTCTTCTACATGACATAGGTGATTGATGCCTCTTTCACTATTATTTTGATATATTAGAGCTTTAACTTGGACCCACTGAGTTATATACTGCTATAACGCTTTTTGTCATACTTTGCTCATTGCTCGGGTTATCTATTTGATAATCATAAGATTACGAGGGAATAACCTTTTAGATTATGAGAGTTCTACATTTGCTGCTTGAGGTGTGGGAGGGATGGGATCTATTTGATGACTGTAAATTAAAAGAGAATTGAAAGGAAATATTATAAGCAATTCTGTTGGTGCGTGCGAGCTGGGATCTCTCTGCTTATAATCAAGTTCTGTCGTTAATCCTCTGATATGTTATGTAACTTATCGGATTCTCTTTGGCTTTCTGATTGCAGGTGACTACAAATACGTAAGGTTAGATTCTATCATATTTCATGATAAGAAGGATTTCTCTGTAGCCTATGTTCTCATGGTTTTGTTGGATGAAAGTTACCTCAAAAAGTGATAATTTTCTGTATGGATGTCAAAATGTCATCCATGCTGTTACGGTGACGCCTTCTTGAACTGTCTTGGAAGGGTAATGTACGGCAAAGCAACCGACATCCGGGTCATTACTTTCTGCCAATCAAAAGCCCGCTCAGTGCACTAGACTAGATTGTCGGTGCAGTGCTATAAAGCCAATGACAAGATCAGAGAGTGTACAAGAGAATTGAATGAAAGTTTTCGTGTATTAATGAGAACAATGATTACAGGAAAGTTAAGATGGTACCCTTGGGGGGAGAGCCCCCAATGCAGAGATCTGAATGCTTGCTGAAAACTCCGACTAATAGACCCTATATATGTCCTTAAAAAATAAACCCAAGTTACAGGTATTGACATAAGTAAGCTGGGAAGACAGTAGCACTGTTCTTATCATCTTTGGCATCGTGGTTTCTCTTTGTGCAAAATAATTTAGTGGTCCATCCCTATACATTGCATAATTGCAGTTTTTTATCGTCTTCCCCCAGTTTTCACTCCCAGTCATTGACTTTTCCAGTGTTTTAATTTCATTTTTTCTAATAACCATGGTGTAAGGGCAAGCTTGCGGGCACCTCGACTAATTCCATGGGGTAGCTACTACCTCCCGTTAGCACAGGTACCGGGTAACTCTATCCACCAAAGCTTGAACAAGTGGGAAGAAAATCACCTAGTATTTTTTCGCCGGCTAGGATTTGAACTTGAGACCTCGTGGTTCTCAACCCACGTCATTGACAACTAGTCCATACCCTTGGGTTCTTCCATTATTATTCATTTCTGATGCCTTCTTTTGGCTTCTAGGGATCCATCTGAGGCAAAGATTGTTGAGGAATTTCTTCAGGGTCAAGGCATAGAGGAAGGGATGAAGATAAAGATATTGAATATTATTAAGGGGATGGGTAAGTTTGTGGATGCAGTTGATTTTCTATTGTAGTTCCATTATTTGTTCGGATGTAGATGTGAATTTGTTGTGTTGTTGTTCCATCTTTTTAAAATTATCTTTGTTAGTTCACTACCATACTATTGTAAAATAAAGCAAAGCCATTTGATAAAGCAGAAAAATATTAACTGATTTCATTCTGGATATTTTTATAACTTGTATCTCTTTGAAAATGAATTAGCAAACTGTAAGGAAAATATGATGACTCTTTCTGTGGTAAATGATACCTTGAATTTTCTGTCACTCCAGCCTTTGAAATTCTCTCATTTGTCTGTCCATGTCTGCCACGGACTTAAAAACATATTTGTCATATTAGGTTTTGCTTGTCTAATTACTGGAAATAAAATTGCGACCACAATGTTACTGTATTGCCAGATCAAAGGATTTTTCAAATGGTTGTGTCCGTGTCAATATTTTCGTTGATGATTTTTTGAAGTGTGGTTAATATTGTTTTATTAAAATAATTAACTTTCTTAATCTGTATGTACTGTCTCCTTGGTTGAAATAGACTTTTGTCATGTAAAACTTTCTCTGTGTTTTCACGCTTTTCTCAGTTCCTTTGGAGTGATTGGTGGTTGTGTTTCACTTTCATTTCTGTACTATAATCTGTCATATTCCTTGGGCTTTGTATTCTATGGAAGAGTTGGACACAAGATGATTGTTATCCTTTCCTGATGATTTGAATGAATTGAAAAAAAAAACAATGTTCCCTTTGATATAGGTTTCAAGGAAGAAGTTGGAGGGCTTGCAAATACGAATTATTCAATAGAGTTTGGGGTGGTGCAAGATGCCGATCGGCTTGATGCGATTGGTGCAATAGGTGATTGATTCAATTTAGTTACCTCTTGGTCACCTGTATATGTTATGTTCTCCTCTCATTCTCTGTGGTAGATGCTGCTGAAGAGATGAAATTATGCTAGTTGGATTTTTTCTAATTACAGACTGCTTGGTTATTTTCCTACCTTAAAAAGATACTGTCTTTCTTAATTTGGATATCATATGGTAATTACGGTTTCAGGAATCGCCCGTTGCTTTACTTTCGGTGGAAGCAGGCATAGAGTCCTCCATGACCCAAGAATTGAACCTCGATCAGATCTGTCTAAGGAAAATTACATGAACAAAGAAGAGCAGACTACTGTGAATCATTTTCATGAGAAGCTTCTCAAATTGAAGGACTTGATGAAGACAAAGGTCAACTTATCGTTTGTTTCTGTATATTTTGTTTTACCCCTTCAGAACCTTATAAATTGTGCAGGAAGAATTTTCATGTGAATCATCTCTTCATTACAGGCTGGTAAGGAAAGGGCTGAGAAAAGGCACAAATTTATGGAGGATTTTCTGAAGGAGTTCTATGAAGAGTGGGATGGGAGGGCTTAAATGAGGTAGCAGTTTTCCAATTGATGTTGCATGTTCCTAAATATAGTTCTTTGTCGTGGTTGTTCTTTATATAATAAACACTAATTGACGAACTTTTGCATCCTAGGATGAGTCTCAACAACAACATACCTAGTGAAATCCCACAAAGTGAGGTCCGGAGAGGGTAGCGTGTATGCAATCCTTATCACTATCTCTCCTAGGTAGAGATGTTTTCGATAGACCCTCAGCTCAAGCAAATCACAACAATAATAAAACGGAAAAAGATAGTGGGGAGAAACATGCAAACGAAATGTGGCGCATATATGCAAGGAACCATAACACCAACAACAAAGTGAGATCATCTAAACATAGTAATAGGACAAAGACTACATTAATACAACAACCGACATGGTGCTCTATTCACCACCAAACCAAATACATGAATAAGCTAGTAATAGTACAACTCTTACTACTTACTAACCTTCTACCCTTATTCGCGACCTCCTTACCTCCTTATCTAAGGTCATATCCTTGGTAAGCTGAAAATGTGTTATATCATGTCTAATCACTTCCCCCAATACTTTTTTGGCCTACCTCTACTTTACCCCACTATATCCAACTTCTCACACCTTCTCACTGGAGTATGTGCACATCTTCTTTTCACATGCCTAAACAATTTCAGTCTCCCTTCCCTCAACTTGTCCACCGTGGAGGTCACTCCCACTTTGTTTCGGATATCCTCATTCCCAATCTTATCGCTCCTAGTATGCCCATACATCCCTCTCAACATCCCCATTTCCGCCACTTGCATCCTTTGAACACGAGAGTTCTTGACTAGCCAACACTTCGCTCCATACAACAAAGGCGGTCTAATCACCACTCTATATAATTTACCTTTAAGTTTGGTGGTACTTTCTTGTCACACCACATCGGATGCATGCCTCCACTTCATTCATGTCACACTAATACGATGTGTGACATCATCACCGATCTCTCTATTTCCTTGGATCAGGGATGTAGATACTTAAATATTTCTCTCTTGGCGACAACTTGTGTATCAAGTATCACTTATACCCTACCTCATACGTCAGACCACTGGATTTACACTCCAAATATTGTCTTGGTACTGCTCAATGTAAACCCTTTAAACTCTAGAGACGGTGTCCACACCTCCAACCTACTGATAATTCCACCGTGAATCTCTTCGATCAAAACAATGTCATCTGCAAATAACATACACCATGAGACCTAACCTAAATTGCGTCAATTGATCTATTGCCAAGGCAAATAGAAACGGGCTTAACGATGATCCCTGGTGCAACCCCATCTCAACTTGAAAGTGATATGAGTCTCCTCCCACTATTCTTACTCGGGTCTTGGCTCTATCATACATTTCCTTTACCCCCTAATGTATTCAACCGGTACACCTTTAAACTCCAAACATCGTCAAAGAACTTCTTTAGGGACTTTGCCGTAGGCCTTCTCAGTGTCAATGAATACCATATGCTATTAGGTGGTACCTTTTTATCACACAAGACTTGTGAAATTAGGTTTGGGCCTAACTCACACTCCCAAGCTAGCTCAAAGGGAGGAGGATTTGCCCAAGCCTTACAAGGAGTCTACCTATCTCATTAACCACCAATGTGGGACTTTTGTTATTCTTTAACACCCCACCTCACGCCCAGTTCTTAGCATCTGCTGCGTGGGCAACTTTGATTTTTGGGGCCCCCAATATTGGGTGAGATGGGCCCTGCTTTGATACCATGTGAAATTGGAAGAAGAAAAGAAGAAGAAATATGGGGAATTGAATTGATTGATCATTCCCCCAAGTTGATGGGATTAAATAGTTGTTACAAATAATGTAAATAAGGAAAGAAGATAATAAAATATTACACAATCTCCTAACTGCCTAATTAAAGGATTAGGGAATATTCTCAAATCTCAATTATTTAATCATACCATATTTAAATATTCTCATATCTACACTATCTAAATATACCATAATTAACACTCCCCCTCAAGCTGGACCCTATAAGTCATGCTCCTAGTTTGACACAAATAGTCAATTCTGGATCCTCGGAGTGATTTTGTAAAAATATCCACCAGTTGATCTTTTGAGTTGACAAAACTTGTGGTGATGTATCCAGACTCAATCTTCTCTCGAATGGAGTGACAATCTTTCTCAATGTACTTCATCTTTCATGGAACACTGCATTAGAAGCGATATGTAGTGCAACTTGGTTATGACAAATCAACTTCATCGATTCAACTCCTATTTTCTATTCTTGGAGAAGTTCTCTCAACCATATAAGCTCACACGTAGCTAGTGCCATAGCTCGATATTCTGCCTTTGCGCTTGATCTAGCTACGACAACTTGCTTTGTACTTCCCAAGATATTAGATTGCCTCCCATTAAACACAATAACTTGAAGTGAACCGCCTGTCAAAAGGAGATCCTGCCCAATCTACATCAGAATATCCGACAGTGTTGGTGTGTCCCGTATCTTCATACAATAAACCTTGTCCTGAAATAAGCTTAGTATTTGGATCCATTAGACTATCCACATGTTTGCAATCCAACATACCAGCATCTTCCAAAATGTCTTAAAGCATATTTCCTTTGAGTAATAACAATATCATGGCCAGATTAGGCCACTTCAATTCCCAGAAAGTATTTCAACTTGCCCAAATCCTTGGTCTGAAAGTGACTTGAGAGGTGTTGTTTGAGTTGAACAATACCTTCATGATCATCTCCATCTCCTGTGATAACAATATCATCAACATAAACAATGAAAAAGATATGTTTGCCATGAGATGAATGCCTATAGAATACAGAGTGATCATTTTCTGTTTGGATCATTCCAAACTATTGGACAACAACTCGAAAACGACCAAACCATGCTCTGGGAGACTGCTTGAGACCATAGAGGGATTGACGAAGTTTACAAACTAGTCTAGAATCCCCTTGAGCAACCAAACCCTGGTGGTTGCTCCATATATACCTCTTCAGCAAGTTCTCCATGTAGGAATGCATTTTTGATGTCCAGTTGAAAAAGGGGACAATGATTCATTGCTGCCATAAAGATGAGAAGACGGACAAAAGCCATCTTGGCAACTGGTGAGAAAGTATCTCCATAATCAATGCCATAAATCTGAGTGTATCCCTTAGCAACCAGCTTGCTTTGAGACGATCAATAGCTCCATCTAAAACTACCTTAAGTGTGAATACCTAACGACAACCAACTGTGGTTTTGCCTTGGGGTAAAGGAACAAGCTCCCAAGTACCATTATCATGCCAAGCAGTCATCTCAATCATAGCTTGACACCAACCTAGATGAACTAGTGCTTTTGCCACAGTCTTTGGAACTTTGACTGATGATAAACTAGTACGAAGGCATGATATGAAGGTGACAAGCGATGATAACTTAAATAAGAATAAACAGGAGTTCGATTGGTAGTAGTTCTAGTACCTTTGTGAAGAGCAATGGGAAGATCATCTGATAAGTGCTCGATCCAAATCGAAGACATTGTTGGAGCATGTAATGAGTCACCAAGACTGCTTTGTGTACCTGTATCAGAGTTAGAAATACCAACTGGATTAGCAAGTTCAGCAGGAGGTTGAGGTCGTCGGGATTAGAGCTTAAGAGTTGGAGGTGGAACTGGGGTTGGAATAGTTGGAATGGGAAGGACTCCTATGGCCTTTGATTTTTCGTATTAGGAGAAAAATACAGAGAAGTCTCGAAAAAGGTAACATCTGCAGAGATCAAGTACTTATTGGTAGAGGGATCAAAGCATTTGTAACCCTTTTTGTAGGCGAGAATACCAAAGAAAGGCACATTTAAAAGCCTTGTGCTGAAGTTTATCTTTTTCGGGTGCAAGGTTATGAACAAAGCATGTGCAACCAAACACATGTGGAGGAAGGGGAACCAATTTTTTGTCCAGATAGAGGACTGAGTGAGGACTCGGGTACTGCAAAATAGATGAAGGCATATGATTGACTAAATAACAAGCAGTAATAACATAACCCCAAAAACGTAGAGGGACATGATTGTGAATGAGCAATTTTCGAGCTGTTTCAATTAGATATATGTTCTTTTGCGCAACAACTCCATTTTGTTGAGGAGTATGTGCACAAGAAGACAAGTGCAATATTCTCTGGGATGACATAAAAGATGAGAGAAGCAGAGAAGTATTCTAGGGCATTATCACTGATTAACTTCTTAATGGAAATACTAAATTGATTGCTAATCTCAGCATGGAATTTCAGAAAGATAGAGAATAGATTTGATCTATTTTTCATTAAAAATAACCATGTACACCGAGAATAGTCATCAATAAAAGTAACAAAATAATGAAAGCCTAAGGAAGAACTAACACGACTTGGACCCCATATATCCAAATGAACGATTTCAAACATAGAGGTGGCCCTATTATTGACGCATTTTGGGAAAGAGGTACGAGTGTGTTTACCAAGTTGAGACGACTCGCATTCTGACAAAGATAAACTAGATAAACTGGGGACCATCTTTTGCAATTTCAAGAGACTTGGATGACCCAATTGACTTATGGAGCAATTCAAAAGAAACATTGGAAGTGAAAACAACATGTGGTGTTGGGATAGAGAGTAGATACAATCCCTGTGACTCATATCCTTTTCCATTCACCTGCCCCATACTTCGATCTTGCACAAGAACAAAATCATCAAAGAAGGTTGCAACACATTTCAGGTTTTTTGTTAATTTGCTAATGGAAATACGATTATATGGACATTCAGGTGCAAAAAGAATTGATTTTAAAGGTATGGAAGGCATAGGGTGAGCTATACCTATCCCTTTTACAATTGTCTTTGATCCATTCGTCAAAGTAACAACAAAGAGGGTAGAAGGGGAAGTAAGAGTAGAGAAAGTGTTTTTGTTACCAGAAATATGGTCAGAAACACCAGAATCAAGAATCCATTGTTCCTTAGACGAAGATTGCGACATAAGCAAAGGAGTTACCAAGTTGTATTGTGCAAGCAGTTGATGAT